CTCATTGTGTTCAGCTCGTCAAGGCACATCGAATGATATACATGATGACCTCGAGGTCACGTGACCTGAGGTCAACCTTTGACCTTGAGCTTTCGAGGTCAACATGTATCTACCTATATCATTCGATGCGGATTGACGAGAGGATCACGATGATGTCCTTAGTTTGTTCCTATCTTGACTATTTCGAAAGTTATTCGAGAAAAACTCCATATCTAGCGCCGCCATTTTGACTTTTTTACCCCTGTGACGTCATCTTTGACCTGACCTGAAAATGACCTGTGTAAAAATTGTAGACCTTGTCCGTGCGTATCCCATGCCGTTTAAACCGCTTGTCGCTATCTTGCTTCGTTCTCGAGATCTCGGGGAGGGGGGCGGTCATCCGACCCCCCGTCGGTTCTAAGTCGGTGCGCGGGATATACAGGGTGATCCAAAAAAATTGGAGCCCCTAACTTAACCCGCGCCCTGCTGGGGGGGGGGGTGTTTGAACACCCCCCCTTGTGGTTTTTCGCGAATATCTCAAAAACGGCGGCGCGGAGCGCCGCCGTTTTTGGTACACCTTATCATACATCAATTCTACACATGTTGTGAAAATGTCAGACCAAGGTCATTCAAGGTCAGGTCACCAGGTCACTTGAAGTGACCTCACCTCATAAAAACTTTCAATGTCTGTCATAGCTACACTGAGTGACCGATCGCTTTGAAACTTTCAGCGATTGCTAAGAGCAATAGCATGTACAAAATGTATATCTCAGAATTTTGATATCGATGACCTAAGGTCAGGTCAATTTTGCGACCTCCCCATTATAAGTCAATGGGAGAAAATTGAAATGCGCCTTTTTTGGATGAAAGACATTATAAACACTCCCAAACACCGAATTACAAGTGGTTTAGACACACTGAACTTGAAAATGGTGTCCGTGACCCTTGTTTATGCCCTGAGGTCATTTTAGGTCACGAATGGTATCTAACAGTTTTTCGCAAATAACTTTTGATAGAGGCATGCTAGAGCGCTGAAAACGCCTTAGATGTGTTCAGCTCGACGATACGGATCGACTGATATGCAACATGACCCTTTCCGGTCAGGTCATGACCTTGACCTGAGGTCAAATTTTCAAGTTGACCTTTCAAGGTCAAGTCATAGTTCATTCGATGCGTCTTGACGAGAGGAACACGATGCCGGTAAAAGTAAGCTCGTACAAGGCTTGGGTCAAAAGTTATTGCAGAAAAACTGTTTTCGAAAAAAATCGGCTATTTTTGCAGTTTTTGCCCCCTGCAGGCAAAACCGTTGACGTTAGGTCAAATCTGAGAGAATTACTCAGAAAGGGCGTTAATAGGGCTATCGAATGCGCTTTTCCGCGGCGCTGTAGCTCTATTGGTTCCCGAGTTATGCGTTGGCTTCTTGGAAGTTTTCGACATTCGACCTGGAAATCGGCGAAATTTTGCCTTCAATGACCTCTGGTGACCTGACCTTTGACCTGACCAAAAAATTGACCGAAGTGATTTCGTCATTATTTTTGACGCTCTTTCGAACGCCGCCTTCCGCGTATCGCTACGTGGCCCAGGAGCCGAGTTACAAGGGGGGGGGGTGTTCAAACACCCCCCCCCCCCCCAGCAGGGCGTGGAAATCCAGGACCCCCAGCAGGGCGCGGGTTAAAATGTCCGTAAGTCCGACAGTTTTCACATTGTTGACAAATTGCAAACACCATTAGAAAGAACGTTCAATTCTCTATAAAACCAAGTTGATTGAACTGAATTATTATTATAAATATTGCCCTAGTTATATGCCTAAAATTTGTGTCACGAAACTCACTGAAACGGTTTTGAACATTTTATGGGCAAATCAGTGATTTGCGGTTTGCTGTTCTGACCATGTCGCATGTTAGAGGTTCATGAATAAAAATAGCTCATTCACGTGCTGTTGTAAGGAATTTAAATTTCAACAGGAGCAAAAAAAAAATAGTTATTCGCAAGGCTATAGAACTCCGTTATTCGGTGCCCCGTGCCACACGGCCCACTCAGTGGTCGAGTTCCTGGAACAGGCCTGCCCGGCCTTCATCGAGCCAGATGCCTAGCCAATAAGAGTCCTGGGGCCGTATTCACGTCGATCATTTTCGTAAGAATTTTCTTAAGTTTGACCTACTTCTTAAGTAAATTTATTTAATCACGTGAACTCCGTCGATAAAAACTTAAGAAGTGTCGACGTGAATACCAAATTATGCTTACGAAAAAAAAAATCGACTTACGAAGTCGACGTGAATACGGCCCCTGGCCTCAACCCTTTGGACTTCTTCGTGTGGAGTGAACTGGAGCGAATTATGTATATGTAGAGGTCAGAGGATCAGCACCATAGAGGAGCTGAAGGAAAGGCTGACGGCCTGCTGGGATCAGTTGTCCCAGGCCCGCGCAGTCGGAGCCGTCCCCAAGCGACTGCGGCCTGCGTCAGCGTGATGGCATACGGAGCTCGGTTTGGGCACATGCTGGGATGAACAGCGGAAGCTAGCTGCTAGGACGCGTGTATCTGTTCTATTGTGTGCTTCTGTGTAAACTTTTATGTAATAAAATTGAAATTGGATGTGGTGTTATTCGCATAAAACAACAACAGATGGAGTGCTAACGGACTTCAGTGCATTGTTAACAATTGGCGATTTCGTTTCACTCAGTTTTCTGACGCTCATTCCAAAAGCTAATAGTGTATCAATGCTTTACAATATACATGCACTAATTTAACGTGATTTTATAGAGGATTTAATGCTCTTTCTAATGGTGTTTGCAATTTGTCAATTAAGTGAATACTTTCGGCCTCATAGACATTTTAAGTTAGGGGTTCCAAATTTTTTTGATCACCCTGTATGTGAACACTATAGTGTACGTACACTATAGTGTACGGCGAATCGACTTTCATGGTAGTGGTTTCGTCTCGATCGGCCCAGTACTTCAAGTACTGTTTAGGATCGCTCAGAAATGGAATACATTAACACTAGCGACCTCTTATGACTACCGAGGTTACCCGAGGTCATTTTATACGAAACGGGTGGTGAAATCACACATACGGAGAATCGACTCGCGGCGATTTCCTCTCGATCGGTACTTACAAGCCATACAAGTGGTATGCTGGTGAGTTTGGTAAAGGATGGATGCAATACGCAAAAACGACAATTTGACCTCTCGAGGTTACCAAAGCCACCTGAGATCCAGAACGGTGGATTAAATTGCATGCGGAGAATCGACCAGTGGCGTTTTCGTCTCGATTGGTCCCCAATGTCGTCAGGTGATCTCAATTACCTATAGAGTTCAATTAAACTGTCCGCTTCAATTGTGCAGCCATACTAAAACGCAGTAACTAGACCGGGTTGATCAAGACGAGAACTTGACGAGAACGCCACCAGTCTATTCGCCGTAAGCGACTTCATCAGTCGTATCAAATATGGTGACTTCAGGTAAACTCGGTGACCTTGCGGAGCCTTCCAACTCCTACAGTTTAACCCTCGGATGTGTGCGGCGTTTTCCAGCTTATAATGTGTAGAGGGGGGGGTCGGTTGGAACCCCCTTGTCGTTACGCCCCTGATCGAGCTAGAGCTTCGCAGAAAGAACGACCGTGTTGCCCGTGACGAGAGGAAGCCGATGATATCCAATTTTAAGGTCCTAGGTCATTGGCTGACCATCCAGGTCAGGCCAATGACCCAAAAGTCGGGAAAATCGGGACCTGTTAGAAAGTCGTAAAGTGTTGCTGCTAAGAGGTTTTTCGGGGTGCTGATCACGAATATCGTGTTAGTTTTGATCACAGATTATGTCTTTAAGCATTTAGACCAGGTCGGGTCAGGTCAGGTCAGGTCAACCAGTAGGGGTCGTGACGGGTATTCGTAGTACGTGTCAACCGCCTCTGACAGCTTCGTAGCATGTTACGAAGGCACCAAAACTACTTCGTAAATGTTCAAATGGCTTCTAAAATCGAATTCAGCTCCAAAAACTAGCCAAGAAACATGTAAAACTCGAAAAAGTGAACCGAGGTCACCAAAGGTCAGTGACCTGACCTGACCTTAGGTGACCTTGACATCCAACCTAATACATAGAAGCAACATAAAATCACATGTTTGAAGGTTTGAAACGCGAAAAGCTTGCAAACGCGCGGCTAATGCGAGCCAACATACGCCGAATCGCGATTCCGGCCAAACATGGCCTCGAGAAATAGGTCACAGGTCAAAGGTCACTTGGGTCAGGGTCATGAAATTTTCAGAGTAGGTGTAAAATTGATCGACTCGAGGGTACTGAAAGTTTCATCGCAATCGGCCATTTTTTGCGCGAGTTAATCGCGAAAACCATGGGGGTCCATCCGACCCCCCCCCTACACATGCGAGGGTTAATTACACCGAACGGATATCCCTAGGTGTGCCCTAGGCAGGGCTGCGGAGTCGATGGATTTTCGGCGACTCCGACTCCGACTCCGACTCCGGCTTTCAAAAACCAGCTCCGACTCCGACTCCGACTCCGGGCAGAATTGTCGACTCCGACCGACTCCAACTCCCGACTCCGACTCCGCAGACCTAGCAGGGCTGCGGAGTCGACAGATTTTCGGTGACTCCGACTCCGACTCCCGCTCGGGTTTCTAAAATCGACTCCGACTCCGACTCCGACTCCGGTCACAACTGTCGACTCCGACCGACTCCGACTCCGACTCCGACTCCGACTCCGCAGCCCTGGCCCTAGGTGACGCCGACTGAACATTTCTGCGGTGGTATACCTGAGCATGTCATACAACTGGTGTCCGGCGATTGATAGCCCTGTCTTCATATGACACATGTAGTTCCTGTGCACGTGTGTAGTTCTGTGAAAGACATCTGAGCTGCTCACTTTCAGACCTGTATGAACTCAGAGTCGTCTGGGACGGATAACCACGGACGTCTCACTCTGTTTAAATACATACCAGCCCGGTCGGACCATCCCGTGGACGAAATTTATAAACAAGCGTGGTCGCTGTCCATCACGCAGTGATCCGGGCCGGGCCGGCTCACTCCGGCCAGTGACACGCGGCCGCTGGAAGAAGGCGCCGGCGCAGTGCGGGACGGCGTGCCGGTGTGGACAAACGTGGCCGACCGGGCAGCAGAGGACCCCCGGCGGGCAGACCCGGCCTCTCGCCGGCGGCTGTGCAGCTGGTGAGCCTGGCAGACACTGTGTGCCAGGCAGAGTGGACCGGCCGACCGCACCAGGAGCCTGCGGTGCCGCCGCTCCGAGCGCTGGTGGAGGGCCGGACGGTGCTGAGGTGGTCTTCCAGAGTCCGGCGGCGCTGAGTCCAACGCTGCCCCTCGAGGTGGACCCTGGCGTCAGACATGGCTGGCGCGAGGAGCAGCGACTTCAAAAACAGGGGGTCCGGCCGTGGCGCGGTCGTGGGCCGGGTCAAACGAATGGTGAGTCAGCGCACATGCCGAGTGCGTCTCAACAACACAGGGACTCGTCTAAAGAATTTTCTCTGCGGGGGTTGGCTAGCTTACGCTTAGGTACCTTTACTACATATCACATGCATTTTTGAAGCATATTGTTCTGGGTTATTTGTGCCGGCCCGTTCAGTGTAGGGACTATGTAATTTAGAATGCGCTGAAGCTTCTCCCACCAGCCATGTTCACCTTTTTAGTCTCTGAAAGCTTTAGGCTGGACTGTAAACATGTCAACTTTGACGGCTATGAGCTATCACTTGTTTTTTGTGGGCTGTTTTAGCTTCTCTCATCTCTGAACCATACAGCGCGAGCGTCTCTGTCGAACATTGGGCTCGGGAAAATCGGGTAAAATGATTTATCATTGATGACCTCTGGTGACCCGACCAATGACCTCATTTAAGAATATTTCAAATGCTTTGTCTATACTAGCAAAAACAACATCTGTATACCTAATGCTTAGTAGTGACAAGCTGAGGGGCTTCATTTACGACCGAATACAAGGCGCGTAGGTATATACTGCTTTTTCCATACAAATATAGCTAATGTCTTCTTTTTTTTTGGCGATGAACGAGCGATGGCAGCAATGAACCCTGAAAGTGGAGTGTAGTGTGGCTATTTGTCCTGGGAGACCTGGGAGTGTTTCACACATCAGCAACCCGGTTCGGCAGGTCAACAGCAGATGCGAGCACCTGTACAAAATCCTCATCATCGGCGAGCTCGGCACCGGCAAGACGTCCATCATACGGCGCTACGTGGGCCAGACTTTCTCCAAGCACTACCGGGCCACCATAGGCGTGGACTTTGCGCTCAAGGTGCTCCAGTGGGACGCCAACAACATCGTCCGACTCCAGCTGTGGGACATCGCAGGCAAGTGGGCGCACAACCGTCCTGCAAGCGTACTGCGTAGTTAGCGCATGCCGGAAATCCATTTTCCAATGACATTTTTATATACCTAAGCAGGAGCCAGGAATATAGTCATCTCACATGTAGACCTAGTTTTGACCTTACCAGACCTTGATGTGAACTTCACGTGAACTTCGCCAAACAGTCCCTGATGACCAAAAGAGCCCCGTCAAAGAAATGCATAGTTGGCCATGGCCATGAAGTTTAGTCATACGTCCCCAGCGTAGTTTCCTAGCAGTGCGACCTTTTGAGACCAGACCTGGAAGCAGTCACTTCACACAGGAATGTAAATTGCATAGGTACCTAACACCAAAGAATGGACGGAAAATTATAAATCCAGTTACTGGTAGTTAGATTGCCGTTCGTTTGAAGTTTATTGGCTCAGTAGTAATTCAGAGATAACAAGAGAGGAGAGGGGGAAAACCAAGGCGGGAAAACGACCTCCCACCACGGCGAACGGAGTCCGGCGAAGGCCCTACGGGACCCGGGTTACGTGGCCCGGGGTCAACATCTTCACATGGGATGCAGAATTCACGAGTTGGCAGGCTACATGGAGCAGATCTGATTCATTTAACAACTTTCGCAGCACGGTTTTCCTTAACTCCTCACTTTATGAAACCGAAGCGTGACCAAAAAGCCTCACCCATGCACCAGGGCAAAGTTTCGTAGCCCCTACTCCCTAGCGATTTTGTGACCAAACTTCTGGCTGATTGGCGTCATCTGAACGGCTGAACTGACGTTGTCTCGTGTTTCTGCGTCCGGTAGGCCAGGAGCGGTTCGGCTCCATGACGCGCATCTACTACACGGAGGCGGTGGCGGCGTTCATCGTGTTCGACGTGAACCGGGCGACCACGTTCGACGCCGTGCTCAAATGGAAGGCCGACCTGGACGACAAGGTGCAGCTGTCCAACGGCGACCCGGTGCCCTGCGTCCTGCTCGGAAACAAGGTGACACACGGCCCGAGCCGATCTCACTGGCGTTAGAAACGGGACGCAGATGAGTGGTCCACTGTGCATCGTCTCAGGCCATAACTTCTCTTAACCCGCGCCCCACTAGGGTCTGCGTATAACGGACCCTACTGGGGGGGGGGGGATTTATAGCCCTCCGCTCCTAACTCCGAAACTACTGGGCCGATTGTCAAATTTCAAACGGCGTCTGATAGCCCCGGAAAAAAAATGTCGAAGGAAATATAATTTCGTTGATCTCGAGGTCACTGATGACGTCAAAGGTCAGGTCAAAGTAAAAATTATCAATGTTTCCTTGTTCACAATTTGGGCTCTGGCCGCTGGCTTACAAGTCAGAACAGGCTCATTTTTGGTTTATACACTCGTGAATAGATGCTTTAGCCGAACTTGCTCTTTGATTTTCAGGTCGAGGCCAGGTCATCCCAGGTCTTATTATTATTATTATTATTTTTTTTGGTTAGGCCCTTTCGGTCCAATGAGACCATTTCAGAGCCGGGAGGTTGATAGGATATAGGGGAAGACATTGGTCTGGGCAGGCACCCTAGTGAGTTACCGGGGCTGAGCCCGTCCAGAGGACAGGCCACCCAGCCCCAAGGTACTCACTGCACCCGGCTACGGGGTGCGCTCCCTCGGGAGCAGCCCGCATGAGATAAAGTTGCCTGTCCAGCCCGGAGGCCCTCGGAAGCACGGAAGCACGGAACTGTGTCCCAGGTCTGAGGTCACGGATATATTATATCATGAATCGGTCACGTGACACATGTTTTATGGTTCATTTAGGCAATAAATTTCGAAATCAGTTTCGTCTGTGTCATCCGAGGTCATTTTTCAGCTGAATATAGCTGAGGTCAGAGATAATTTTTTTCAACAAAAAAGGTGTCTGTCGTATGCAGTTTAACCCGGCAGTTGCTGGGGTATTTCGCCACCCACCGTTTGCTGGGGGGGGGGGGGCGTTAAACGCCCCCAGCCGATAACTCGAGAACCAATAGGCGCAGCGAAACGCACGAGGCGGCAAACGAAAGAACGCGACGAGACGCTTCAGATGAGTACTTTAACCCGCGCGGGGCTGGGGGGGGGGTAAATTTTACCCCCCCCCTCGCGAATTTTTGCGATATCTCAAAAATGGCGGCGCGCAGCGCCGCCAAACTTTCAGTACCTTTTCTTACATCAATTTGACACGTTCCCTGAAAGTTTGAGCGAAATCCGTCGGAAAATTTTTGAGAAATTGACGTTTTAGTGACGTCATGTTCGCGATTTTCGCCTCAAAAACGGCAAAAGTTCAAACGCCGCTAACATCTTCATTTTTAAAGGAATCAATACGTAACAAAAAAGGTTATACGTAATTTTACTTTGTCTATCAAATGGCTATCTCGGTTTTTTGAAAATTTTGGATTTTGGCCTAAATTTTTTCAAAAAACTGACTTTTTTGGGAACATCATTATAAAATCCAAAATTTTGAGTCTATCGAAAAAACCGGAATATATGTCAGAGAAGTGGTCTATGTGCACCTACATACCAAATTTTAGAAGAATCGGTTCAAAAATGTGGGAGTTATTCAAAATTTTATGACGTCACGACTCACAAAATTTTTGAAAAATGACTTTTTTGGAAGTTCTAGACCTCGTACGGAAACAAAAATAGCACCATTCGATTCGCCGTGAAAAACTGCATCAGATAGACACCTTTTTAGGCCTTAACAACCAACTTCAAAATTTGACCTCACTTGACCTGACCTTGACCTGACCTCGACCTGAAATTCATCCAGAGGTGGTCCATATCACTTATTGAGTGTGCCTATTGAATTCTATGAGTAAAATGACCCATAAAACATGTGTCGCACATGCCCTTTTCTATATTTTGTTTTTTGGTGACCTGACCTGACCTGACCTTGACCTTGACCTCTGAATGATATTGTATGCAACGAATATTGTCTTGGTAGCCTAAGAACACGTTTTGGGCGATCAGTCTCAGTCCATGACTCCATTCTTCGGCAACTACGGTGCAAGGCCGATACTGTAGAAACTTGCAATTTGTACCCTTGACCTGACCTTGACCTTGACCTCAAACTTTAAATTAAGTACATGTTTTTAGTAGTTCGTGATGAGAGCTTTCGATTGGCGTTTGAATTTTCCAAATCGGACCATTAGTTCGGGAGATAACAGGGGGGGGGGGGTAAAATTTACCCCCCCCCCCCAGCCCCGCGCGTTCGGCTGGAGACCCCAGCCCCGCGCGGGTTAAAATTGAATTTTGAGGTCACAGGTCAGGTCAAGGTCAGGTCAAACACCTGAAATCGGGCTTTCAGTAGCATGGACTTCAGGACTTCGTAATGGGCGCCTCTCGTCATAAACTCTGTCAAAACGGTGCGCAATCCATCATATAAGGCCTACAAGAGTGTCAGCTCCATATAGGGGTCAGTCAAGCATAGGTCAGGGTCAAGGTCAGGTCAACCGGGCAGGCACATATCCCCGAAAATCAAAACTGATATTCGCAGCCTGTGACACATGTTTTATGGGTAATTTGGGGCGTAGAACACGATGGTGACATTCATTTTACCAGATGTGTACGTGTTTGGCTAAAAAAGTTCAATTTAAGAAATGCATGTATCATGGTCGTGAAGTAGTCACGAGAAATTGCCAAGATTCAGTTCAAGATTTTGGAAAATGCGGAACGATAATCAACAATCGAAGATAGCCATTTGATTGTGCATGGTATTGGCAGTCTAATGGCGTTTACGGCATGTCTGTATGTCTATTCTGTGATTTTATATGATTTTTTGAACATATGCCGTTTTTGGTCGAAAACTCAGAAATCATGACGTCACTAAAACCTCGATATCTCAAAAATTTTCCGACCGATTTTTTTGAAACTTTGTCACAATAAACTTCAATCAATTCCCTACAGGTACCCAAAATTTGGCGCGCCTGCGGCGCGCCGTTTTTATGCTATGGCCCGGCGAAAAAAGTGGGGGCGTTTAACGCCCCCCCAGCAACTCGCGGGTTAAGATCAGGAACACGATGGTGCAATTTATATTGAGGTATGTCGCCGTTTAACTAACGGCTCCGGCGTGAATGTCGCACGCGCTGATGTCAATTTTAGTGTCACAGAATGTCCGACGATAATTGTTCGATTCGGGACTTGGGATTCATTCGATTCGATCGTGGTCGTCTTTTTCTGGGGTTCATTGGGGATGTTTTTTTGTAATAATATAATACGTCAACGTGACTGGGGACTTTATTGCCTTTGAGGAGTAAACACAACTAGATTCGATGTCCTTGAAGCAGTGATTAATCGTGAAGTACCTATTCGTTCATTTTATCTCGCACTATATGTAGATAGAACACAATAACGTTGTCATATCCTCGATTTCGCTAACGTGGTTTCACTTCGTGTGTTATGCGTAAAACCATAACAAGGTATATGTCAAAAACGTACTAAAAAATTGATTTGAAAATTTATAATAGTGAAATTTTGACTATAATTGGTACCTATAACTTGGCTATTTTTGAAGATAGGTATCGGAATAAAAACTTCTTGAGTAGATCACCGGTAGGGTGTTCTATCACAAATGTTCCGTTTTTTTTTCTCAAAAAGTCAAAAACTTAGAAAAAGGACAAAAATATAAATTTTTAGATTTAATATATACAGGTATAATTTTCAAAAATTTCAAAATGTTGAAAATCCGATATAGCAGTTTGATAGCCCTATACCTATGCATTCTGAGTCCTCTCATGCAAAGAAATTGTAGGTATCTAGCTTAAAAACTGATCTCTTGAAAGTGATTGCCGTAGTTCAATATACATACCTATTGTATCGAAATTGGCCGAACATGACGTCACTTTGACGTCATTTCCGGTCGACCCATGATAGCTACGAAGTTCCGGTTTTGACACAAGGTGTCAAATTGATACAGCCGAACGTACTGAAAGTTTCGTGTCGATACGCCAAGCGGTTTAGAAGTTATTGCAGAAAAACGAGGGGGCGATGAATAGCCCCCCCATTGGGGCGCGGGTTAACCCGGCAGGCGGTGGGCCTCCCGGCCACCTTCCGCGCGGTGGGGGGGGGGGCATTTTTTGCCCCCCCCCGTATCTCCGAAACTACTGGACGGATCCGGAAAATTCAAACGGCGTTCGATAGCCCTGTCAAATTTGTCTACGAAAACCAAATTTCGTTGACCTCGGGGTCACCGATGACCTCACAGGTCAGGTCAAAGATAAAATGTTTCACCGTTCACGGGTCTTCTAGAGAAAGCGCTATAACACCGAGTAAAACGCATTTTGTCGAAAATTAGCGATAGGGCGTCAGTTGTCTAGTACATATGTTGCTATTAGAAGTCACTGGTCATACCAGGTCAGGTCACAGGTCAGGTCACCAAGGGTCACCACATGAACCCAGCTTTACTATGGCGATGCATGTCTTATGGCCAATTTTTTATTTCCAACACAATTGTGTTGGTAATAAGACCATCAGGCACGGTTTAGGTCACTTTCTGGTGGAGGTTAGGTCAAGGTCAGGTCAAAAAAGGTCAAATTTTAAAGTTGTTAGATTTGCATAAAATGGGTATTGATTCGATGCAGCTCGTCACGGAGAGTCTAATGGTGGTCTTTGTTTTGCGCTACGAGGTCTAGAATTGCAAAAAATTGAGTTTGAAAATTTGACGTCATCAATTTCCAACAGTTTTTTCGCTATAACTTGGCCAAAAAAAGAGGTATCGATCTCAAATGTGGTATGTAGATAGAAAGCGGTTGGGACTATCACATATATTCCGGTTTTTCGAAATTCAAAAAACTCTTTGGATTTTTCGGCTATTATATTCAAAAAAATTATTTTTTGATTTTTGGGGGTCAAAATCCAAAAATTTCAAAAATCCGAGATAGCAGTTTTGTAGCTCTTTTAATTCTACACCTTTTATGTCCTAAACCTTTTTCTGTATCTCTCAAGCTGTAGGCCTGACAGCTCTTCCCGCAAAACCTTTTTTGGGTCGAAAATGGCAGAAATGACGTCACTCTGACGTCATTAGCGGCGAACCTATCATAGCCCTTGGAAAAAATTTTGGTCACAATGTGCAATAGCTATTCACGGGAGGATGCTGAAAGTTTGGTGACGATCGGCGCAGCGGTTCTGGAGATATATCGAAAAAACTAAAGGGGAGGCAAAAAAAATGCCCCCCCCCCCCCACCGCCTGGAAGGTTAATAAATTGGAATGCAGCGACTTTTAAAATGAGACCCACTTTTCGGCGGGTGTCTGTTTAGTGTTTACCCTAATGAACAATCATCATTCTTCTCCCGGCGAGTATAAATTTGTGTTATGTCTGGCAGTGTGACCTGCCGAAGGAGGGTCTGGCGTCCAGCCCGGAAAAGGTCTCCGAGTGGGCGCGCCAGCGCGGCTTCGTCGGATCCTACGAGACGTCCGCCATGGAAAACAAGGGCATCGACGAGGCCATGAACTTCATCGTCAGAAAGGTGCGTCAAAACACTCCACTCGTAAACCTTCATTGATAAAGTCACTGAACTATCATACGCGGTTGTCACATTACCAACTACACGCATATTGATATGGGCAGTGCTGCTGAGCCCCACCCTGACCGCGCCGCGCTCTGTCGGCAGATTTTGACACACGAACAGTGCGGCCATCTGGTGGGCGGCGGCAGGGATCCCGACGTGGTGACGGTGAGCAGCGGCTCGTCGACAGTCAGCGGCGGCGACTGCGTCTGCTAGTAAGGAGGAAGGATGGCGACACTCAGCAGCGCCGACTGTGTCTGCTAGCGGGGAGGAGCGGCAATTGTGTCTGCTAGCGGGGAGGAGGGGCGATGGGCCACTGCGTCTGCTAGCGGGGAGGAGGGACCACTGTGTCTGCTAGCGGGGAGGAGCGGCGCCGACTGAGCGGCGTACCGCCTGAAACCGCCGAATACCTGTGCGAATCTGCGACCTGATGAAGTCCTACCTGTTCGACAACACTGTGGAGCTCCTGCTTTACCACGTGCGTGCGTGCGTGCGTGCGTGCGTGCGTGCGTGTGTGCGTGTGTGTGTGCAATATTTATGCCTGATAGGAAACCATCATAGACCATGTCATGAGACATCGTATGTTCACACAGATCAATGACGTTGGAAGTGCTCATGGTGCCGTGCCAGGATGGTCTGAACGTCTGTTGTCAGCGAAGCGAACCATTGGGCTTATCGAATAAAAGCAATTCAAAACGTTAAATAATGCGAATGAGCCCACTACTCAGTTGCAACAAGACAACCAGATGAGTACTGAATAGGATGACTGCGCTTTTTTCCTAAAACTAGCGTAGAAAATAGGCAGGAACCCATCCGTCAGTAGACACGACTCATCCCGTAAACATATACCGAATAGGATATTTGGCGTGGATAACCGGTCGTGCGCCCGGATGAATTATAACCCTGCTCCCGGCCGCGGCGCGTGACCGAAGGACCGAGCGATGACAGAGCGCAGTGGCGCAGCCAGGGGAGGGTCAGAGCGTCAGCTGACCCCCCCCCGAAATTTCTGCCAGGGGCCCGCTCGGAAGGGAGGGAGAGAGAGAGAGAGAGAGAGAGAGAGAGAGAGAGAGAGAGAGAGAGAGAGAGAGAGAGAGAGAGAGAGAGAGAGAGAGCGAGAGCGAGAGAGCGAGAGAGCGAGAGCGAGAGAGCGAGAGAGCGAGAGAGCGAGAGAGCGAGAGAGCGAGAGAGCGAGAGAGCGAGAGAGCGAGAGAGCGAGAGAGCGAGAGAGCGAGAGAGCGAGAGAGCGAGAGAGCGAGACAGCGAGAGAGCGAGAGAGCGAGAGAGCGAGAGAGCGAGAGAGCGAGAGAGCGAGAGAGCGAGAGAGCGAGAGAGCGAGAGAGCGAGAGAGAGAGAGAGAGAGAGAGAGAGAGAGAGAGAGAGAGAGAGAGAGAGAGAGAGAGAGAGAGAGAGAGAGAGAGAGAGAGAGAGAGAGAGAGAGAGAGAGAGAGAGAGAGAGAGAGAGAGAGAGAGAGAGAGAGAGAGAGAGAGAGAGAGAGAGAGAGAGAGAGAGAGAGAGAGAGAGAGAAGTCCTAATCTAATTGGACGATCCCGCTTCGAGAAATGCCTACTGGGACACCACGGGTGAGGGGTCGCGCTGGGGCCGCGGGTTAACCCGCGCCGGGCCGGGGAGGGGGTGTTCGAACACCCCCCCCCCTGCGGTTTTTCGCAGATATCTCAAAAACGGCGGCGCTCCGCGCCGCCGTTTTTGGCACACCTGTTTATGCATCTCTTCCACACATGTGAAAAATCCACACCCAGGACTCTCAAGGTCAGGTCACCAGGTCAGGTCAAGTGACCTCACCTCAGAAAAAGTTTCAATCCTCGCCATAGCAGTGTCCCAAAGTTGTATTTTAGCTTGGGTGTCAGAGGGGAAATTCCTCTCCAAAAATGGGGATACGAGTGGAAAATTGCTGGCCAAGATGAGGCCTAAAAGAGTGGGAAAAGATCAATAGCATAATTAATTTCTATACAAGCATGATATAATATGAGATGTACAACGACCATCCACGCTAATGTTTTATCTTCATAAATATTGGGAGTGGAAAATTACTCTTAAAAATTGGAGGTGAGAGTGGGAAATGATTTTCATTTGGATGTCGTTTCCTACCCAAATCAACAAATTTTGGGACACTGCGCCATAGCTACACCGACTGAGCCTTGAAACTCTCAGCGATTGATAAGGGTAACAGTATGTACAAAATGTATATCTCGGAATTTCGATATCGATGACCTAAGGTCATGTCAATTTTGCGACCTCTCCATTATAAGTCAAAATGGGAGAAAATTGAAATGCGCCTGTTTTGGACGAAAGACATTATGAACACTCCCAAGCACTGAATTACAAGTGGTTTAGACACATTGAACATGAAAATGGTGTCCGGGCCCCCTGTTTATGCCCCTGAGGTCATCTTAGGTCACGAATGGTATCTAACACTTTTTCGCAAATAACTTTTGATAGAGGCATGCTAGAGCGATGAAAACGCCTTAGATGTGTTCAGCTCGACGATACGGATCGACTGATATGCAACATGACCCTTTCCAGTCAGGTCATGACCTTGACCTGAGGTCAAATTTTCAAAGTGACCTTTCAACGTCAACAAATAGTTCATTCGACGCGTCTCGACGAGAGGAACACGATGCTGCCAAAAGTAAGGTCGTGGCTCTCTTGAGTCAAAAGTTATTGACGAAAAAACATTTTCGTGAAAACTGCTATTTTTAGTTTTTGCCCTCTGGAAGCTAAGCCGTTGACCTGAGGTCAAATCTGAGAACAATCTTCAGAAAGGTCTGTAAAAGGGCTATCGAATGCGCTTTTCCGCGGCGCTGCAACTCTATTGGTTCCCGAGTTAGTTTCCAAAACTGTTGAAATGGACTACATTTGACCTTTGATGACCTCTGTCAAATGACCGAAGTGTTTCCGTAATTATTTTTGACGCACTTTCGAACGCCGCCTTCCGCGTATCGCTACGTGGCCCAGGAGCCGCGTTAGATGGGGGGTGTTCCCCCCGGCCCGGCGCGAAAGTAACGGAGCACCGGCCCGGCGCGGGTTGTGACTATCCCACCTTAACATTAGTTTTGAGTTGAGAATAGATAGCCAAAATTGGGTCCCTGACTTGCACTTACCGGTTTGAGCAATCACAAGATCGAGAAATACCTCAAATCGAAAATATCTAATTTCAAAAATGCGGCACGTCTTGGATTCAGAGGGGCTAATGCATTAGAATGCCCCCGCTGAATGTGGGACGTCAGCGCAGATCTAACGATTTTAAATCTTTTACTAAAACGTTTGGTAGCACGCGGTGGTATATGCTGCTTTGCGCGCAACAAGTCCCGCACTTTCAAATAAAGTCGCTAGGAACAGTGGAGATCCCAAAAAGTAAACAAAAATAAAAGTCTAATATCTTGAAAACCGGTGAATATTTTTCGATGAGAATTGGTAGATATTCGTTTTCGCTCTTTCTGAACCGAGCGACATCACTTTCATACCAATTCATTAACTTTTTGAAGGTGGGAGGGTCCCTTTAATAGGTGAAATGACACAAAAGCAGGCAACTGTGAGAATTAATTTATTACATTTACCTAACACTCTGGAATAGCAGTCACAGCCGCTCCGAATAACGTACTCGGAGGAGTCATGCAAAGCAACACCTATCTGCGCGCGCTGCCGGGACCGGGACTGCGCCCCGCTCCCCGGCACCAGGTACAATGCGAGGTACAGGTACAATAAAGTGAGACCCGCGCCCGCCGTGGGTCTCACTGGGGTCTGCGGGACTTATCGCGGGTCTCACGGAGGTCCGTGGGACTTATCGCGAGTTGAGGTCTGCGGGACTTATCGCGAGCTGAGGTCTGCGGGACTTATCGCGGGTCTCACGGAGGTCTGCGGGACTTATCACGTGCCTCACTGAGGTCTGCGGGACTTATCGCGGGTCTCACGGAGGTCTGCGGGACTTATCACGTGCCTCATTGAGGTCTGCGGGACTTATCGCGGGTCTCACGGAGGTCTGCGGGACTTATCGCGCGCCTCGCTGAGGTCTGCGGACTTATCGCGATGCCTGCAGCCGCTGCAGCTCGGCCTCCAGGCGCAGGTGGCGCGCTCTGAGCGCCGCGCGCCGAGGGCCCGCCGGCGCACCCTCGAACTGCTTGTGGGCGTCGTAACTGTGGAGCACAGCGCAGGGCCGTCAAACGCTGCATAAACGGGCCATTCTTAGCAAAGGACATTCTTAGCCTCACGCCTACAGGCGTTCTGATGCACTTTAACGTGCTTGTGGGAAAAAAAAACGAAAAACGGGAAATAAACATACGAACTGACGATTCATGTCTGCTTATAAGACACGGCTAGGCGCGAACCCTGGCCGACGATCCATCGGTTCTCAGGAGCATTGATTCAGCACCCTCTATTCGTGTGCCATCGAAAAGGTAATGAGCACGTACCACTGGATTTTCAGCGCGTTGATCCGGTCGACCAGGCCGGTGTCGCGGTGATCAGCCTCCGGCAGCTGCCGGCTGCAACACACAGTTTATCCTTTCGTAATTTGACATCCATAATAAATACAAAACTCAGAATACAACAAACCGAAATTCGTGCCAAAAATGCACAGTGCTTAGGAGGGAAATGACTTGCAATTACAAGAACTGTGAACATATACCATACTAAATTTGCTCCGCAACTCTATAATACGGGCCGCCCGCTGGACGCACCGTGTAATGCCGGCCACGCGGACAGCCACAGACGGCGGCGGCGCCACTGACCTGGTCGGAGACAGGAGCTCGGCGCCCTCGGGCGGCGTCCGCACCTCCCCGTTGACGGCCGGCCGGCGGTGGTCGTCGGGCGCGCCCAGCGCCGCGTAGAGGTCGCTCAGCAGCCGCGAGTCGGGGGTGCGCAGCGTCGCCGGCGGCCAGTCGTGCTGCGGCTGAACCACCGCCGCGCCGGCCGACACCAGCTCGTCGCCGACGTGGACGTCCGTCTCACCGCGGGTGTCGCACAGCAGCAGCGCGCTGACGTACTGAGTACGGAGCGAACAGAACCGGTACAGCGACACTGTTATACCCAGTACACACCACACAGTACACAGCAGCAGCGCGCTGACGTACTGAGTACGGAGCGGACAGAGCCGGTACAGTGCCAGTATACACTACATAGTACACAGTACAAACGCAATACCCAATACACAGTACACAGTACACGGCAGCAGCGCGCTGACGTACGGACGGAGCGGACAGAACCGATAGGTATAGAGATAGTACTCTGTGGAGTGATCGGCGGCGCCTCACCTGGGACTGCTGCAGGACGGTGGCCATCAGAGGCACGCCGCCGCGCACCAGCTTATCGAAGACGGTCTGCGCCGGCCGCGACCAGATGCCGTGGGGCGGCGCCACCCGCGCCAGAGACCCCTGCCAACGGTGTACGTACATAGAGCAGATTATAACAGACCCAGCGGCGGCGCCACCCGCGCCAGAGACCCCTGCCAACGGTGTACGTACATAGAGCAGACTATAACACACCCAGGGGCGGCGCCACCCGCGCCAGAGACCCCTGCCAACGGCGCAGAGCAGATTATAACAGACCCAGCGGCGGCGCCACCCGCGCCAGAGACCCCTGCCAACGGCGCAGAGCAGATTATAACAGACCCAGCGGCGGCGCCACCCGCGCCAGAGACCCCTGCCAACGGCGCAGAGCAGATTATAACAGACCCAGGGGCGGCGCCACCC